TATAAATTCAACGCATACGCAGAGTATAAAACTTCTTCCGATTCTAATTATAACAGCATTGAAACACGTTTTGTGGTTAATGTGTTCACGGTACTTGTACAATAAACCTCGTCATTTACGATTCACAATAATGAGAGTGTAACGTATGTTTCCCACACTTGTGTGGTTAACAGTAATGGTACTCTAAAATACAAAGTCATGTTTATTCACTGCTCTGATCAAATATAATTCTCTCTGCGAAAAGTGAGTAAAATGTGTCTTTATAGCATAAGAGAGATATATATCCTTCTCGTCGCTTTTTGTCTTCATCTGTCACCGTGCGTGAAAAGAACGTTCAACATTTAATATCCGCGAAGTTTAGATTTCCAATTGGAAGACTTTCAACACGTCGGGGAGAAAAGAGAACGCGTTGACTGTCCTCCGTTGTTGTTGTTCTTTCATCGTCATTCGTCTAAAGAAACTTAAATATTTTCGTCACTTGCAAAACAGAGTTCTCCAAAGCTCGTGTTCAATATGTCGCTGTATGCGCGCGATGTACGCGAGACAATCGACTCCATTTGTCTTTGTCAAGGCCCGTCTGAAACTGTAACATTTACGCCGCTTTTAGCAGCTGATGCGATGATCGTAAACCCTGTCGTTCTCGTGATCGTCAGTTTAGACATTTACTATACCTGCGTACTGTACCGCACAGTTGGAAATTCGAAAGATGACTTCACATCGCTGTTGTATCTACGTGTTTGTGCACCTGCGTGCAACTAAGCTGCGAACGTGAGTGACGATTTCCAACGCGTGCACGCTGCTTATGTAAGAGTTTTTTCGAACATTCACCGTGTATAAAAATTTTCGTGTACACACTGTGCGCGTTCTACAATACGCCTTGAAACTTAAATTCGTTTGAGACCAATCTAACAATTCATATAGAAATCGTTTACTGCTATCATTTGTGCGTGCAATAATAATATGAAATGACCACGACTGTTTCAATCAATAAAATCAACAAAATCTTGTTACAATATCGATGAAATTTATTAAACAATTGTTCGAATACCTTTGCCAGCAGTGTTGCACGTGCCTATTAAATTTCTATGTACGTTGAGGAACATAACCGTGGCATTTGGGTCTCATTACAAGCATTTAATATATTCACAAATATATTCGAATATTTTTGCAAGCGATCATATACTTGTATCGAATTTTCGGATTTTTCGAGTTTTCAAACTTTGCCGATGCAATTAATGTTAATGAGATTTCAAGACGTTTTACACAACACGCACAATATGGTTGCAAAGAGTTATATATTTGGTGGAAATATGTAAATATGTACGAACAGAGAAACGCACGGGGGAGTAAAAGATGGAGTCCCTAATTAAAGAGGAACTGCGAATCCGCTGCGTATCTCGTCGCGTTTAATTATGTCTTTCATTTCGTCTGAAATCGGTGGAACGTTAGCTTTACGCGATATACATTCTTACATGTCGGATATAATTAAAATCTGTCGCAGTGGAGATAAACACGCAGAAATCCCTGACGTCCTCGGGCTGCAGACTGCAGAGGTATTAACACGATAATCCTATCTTAGGTCCCGATCGAGCACAATATGTATTTACTTGAATGGAAATTAAGCTACGAATTATTAATTCCACGAATTGTGCTTGTTTGCGCGTGTAATTTCCAACAATTGGACTTTGATCCATTGTTAAAGGATTCCCGAAGCGTGAAGAGGATCTGGAATAATCTATTGTAGGTTCGATCTCATTTTAAAAAGGTCCTTTCGTCAAAATGAAAACGCGACGCGAGGCATGAAACACTCGAAGATAGTAATAAATATTAGACTATGGATTTCGGTGAATTTACGAAAAATACGAAAGCGCAAAAAATGCGCGACAGTAAGAAAGATATTCTTCTTTTTATGAAGGATATAAAAAAAAAAAATGCATAATTTTGTTTGTCAAAAGCGAACACTTTTCACCAACTATTTTGAGAGATAAGGCGATGTTTTTCTGCGGGTAAAACTTTCTAACATTAAACGCGTGATTATAATAAAATGTCAAAAGTACCTGTTACAGTATTTGCTGAACGTAATTTCCACTTCGTGTTCGCAAAATCGCGAATTTGCACAAGAATCCGCGGTTTTCTTAGTAGCGAAGAGAGTACTAAGAAAAGAACAATGGAAGAAGGATAAAAAACAAAGAATATCACGAAATAAAACGATCAGCAAATGGAAATAAATTCGTATTTAAACTAACCCCTAAATCATATTTTTATCTTACAACCCTTCGCAACTGAGACACCCTACCGAACACGACCGCGCTGACAATCACTATTTTTCCGCGCTGCACGAAGGGTGCTGTTTAGTCGTCAATATCACCATGATCTGTTCCATTAACGGCAAAAAAAAGAAAGAAAAAAAAAAAGGAAGTTGCACGAGATTCACCGAGGAACGATGCCGATATGTTCGAAACAAATGATAATCTTCATCAACTAGATCCGTGAATGTGAAAATAAGCTGCTTGAGAGAAAAAGTTTCCAATCCAAGAGATATTGTTTCGTGGAATTATGTAGTTAACAAACACGATGGAAAGGATATTCCATGCTCCAAGTGATTGTTCAATTACGAATTAATTCGCACTTTGACGAGCGGGCGAAATTCCCGGTTTCACTTTCGTGGGAAAAGGAAAAATGCGAGGAATTAAATGGTAATTGGAAGGGTGTAAAATTATGAAGGGAGCCTCCCTTCGACGAACAACGAGTCATTGATTTTGTCTCCAAGAACAAGGAACCATCTCAGAAGGCTTTACGGGAAGATGAAAGTGTTTCAGGGGAGAGCGTAAAATTAAAAATAGTATATACCTCGTCGTTACCCGGCGAGTGATTATACGTGACGTCAGACAAAGCTCATCACCAATGAACTGTGCCATATGAAGCAGTCATGCATTATGCTCGTCTAATCATCGAAATCTTGTTTACTTCCCTATAATTTTGTTAAATTACACACCTCCCTCATTCCGAGCTACAGCGTGGAACACGTCTGGCGAAAATATTTCAACATTTTATCGCGGCAGACATTGTACATATATGTGTCTGTGTGCTATGATATTTGTAAAATTTCATCGGCACTGATGACGATTTTATTGAGAAAAACCAATCGGAAAATTACTTATTGCGAATTAATATAGAGGGTGTTTGTGCAATCGTGGTACAATTCTAATTTGTCTTTAATTTAGAGAAGATCGAGCTCGTGAAAGAGAAATATTAATTGTAAGAGACTCTTCCTTTCTTATTACGACGAAATTACAAAGTAAACAATAACTGAAAGAACGGATGCAATCTATGGCGAGTTAATTAGTGAAATTTATGTTCGAGAAATAATAACGAAGATATACAAACAGGTGTAAGTTTTTTTCTGATAATTTAATTGAAAAACTTTTGCTCATATACAATATATATATATATATATATATTTCATTCGAGTTCTGTGTTATTTAAACATCCATTATAGTTTCATGAGTATTTCATCCCACAGCGTAATAACATTAATTTGTAAATAAATAATACGTGTATGAATTTATTTTGTTGGAATAATTTTTCCATCGTTATTAAAGGCACTTGAAGATATTTATATCAACATCCAATGAATTTAATTTGTAAATAAATAACATTTAGTAAGCAAAGTTCAACTTATTTCGTTGAAATAACATCGTCATTATTGGAAGTCACGCTCGTTATGTCAATATCCAATGAGTTTATATTAATTCGCAAATAGAAAAAAACATACACTTCTGAATGAATTAATTTCGACTTGAGATATCATGTCGATATCCGATTAAAGGTAAAGAAATGAACCTAAACATCTATTGCGTTTGATCGCTCGATGTTGAATGTTCGAGAAATTCTTAAATACAGAAAAATACTTTAAAATCTATTTCGAGTGTTTTCAACTCTCCAGCCGCGGGCGAGTTTCATATTTTTCTGTACGAAATCACGGACGAAATTCGTATCACGTAAACGTTTATCGCGGAGCAAACTTTCAATGCAACACAAAAAAAAAAAAAGAAAATCAAAACAAATGAAGAAACGGGACATATCTTGATTTATTCACTAAGTATTGGTAATTATTAATAGATCATTAACTATCTCACTTATTATTTAGCCGTTAGTTACTAATAACAATTAACAACTATTTATTTATTGACTGTTGACTAACAGCTATTCAATTACCGATTCTTTTATCTCTTATTACTTTATCTGCTAGTTTTCATTCAACGTTCCCTGCTGTTCAGATATTCTAAAAATTCAATGCAACGGGACGATGATAATATTCATGGAAGGTCCATCGAAATAAGTAGAACACGACGAGTTTGACATCGCCGGAGAGTTAATAAATAGTACATGTACACTTTATCGGATTGCTCGGAAAGTTCGAAACAGTATTTGACAGCCTGTGCCATTGTGTGTATCTCGCTTTCGATTGAAAAGGTGACAAGATACAATCGACAAGATACAACGAAATGTTAAGTTTTGATCTTACAATTAGTTTCACTCTGGAAGAAATCAATGAGAGAGACACTCGGAATTCGTCAGCGACAAAGGTTTCACTTCTCGATAAATTGGAATTCATGCATGAATGAAGAACAAGCAAAAGGAGGAAAAAAAGAAAAATATTGAAGAGTTGAATGTTCAACTTCATCCAGCGCGCGTAATATATAGACGCGTAATCATTTATTCTGACTTTTTTTCTCTTCACTGGCGATTCATTCAATTATTAGAAATTGGTTATTCCGCGACGAAATTCCATTCAATTTGCTTTTAAATTTCTTTCGATCGTTGTGTGGCCGACACACGCATTTTTCTAACGTTAGAAAATTCTCGTTTTATTAGTACGTGCAATCTCTCGTTTTTTTTTCATCATTATGTAATCCATGATCTGGCTTCCAGACGATGTGTAATAAAAGGAGCATTTCACGTTATTTATTAACACTTCTGCTTTGATTATTGACAGATCACAGATAAAGCATAATTTTCATTCAAATCCGGTGGTGTGGACAAATACAATATCGAGCAGAAACAAGTTGAACAAAAATATTAAACGAAATAACTGGTTGCTATGGCCATTCGTTTTAACGGAACGAATTGATTTTCGTTTGCAGACAGCAACTTTGTGCTGGGAAATGCGCAGGTTCCGTCGCTCTACCCGATTGTTTATTGCTCTGACGGGTTCTGCGAGCTGACAGGATTCGCGCGAGCGCAAATCATGCAAAAGGGTTGCGCTTGCAAGTTCCTCTACGGCCCGGAAACGAAAGAAGAGGAAAGGGCGATGATCGAGAAGAGCCTCGAGAGCAAAACAGAGCTGAAGACGGAAGTGGTCCTTTACAAAAAGAACGGTGAGTTACGCTATTCTACGCTCCATCACCAGAAATAATCGATCGACCAGGGATTTTACTAATTTCTAGTGTTTACCGGCTTAACGTTTGACCACACAACGCAGATAATTCCCTTGATTATTCCTAGTTTAATTTCATCTCTTAATAGCTAAATTATGGAGTACATGTCTCTCTGGCAAAACACAACGTTCCACGAAATATAACATATTGTACACCGATTAATTTATTACGCTTCAATTACCTAAATATCAAATATATTCTACGAGCTACCATTGCTAAAATATTATACATCTATGTTTGTGCAGTAATGGGGATTTTTATTTGATCCAATGGGAAATCATGTTGATATTATCGCGTCGTATAACGATTCGTGATATTTGAATCTCTGTTTCTTTCGTGTTAATGACAGATATAAATATATCATTGTTTTTTCGGGACCTCGAATATCTACTTGATAATTTTGCAGGGAAAGAAATATAAATTAATCGGTGCGGACAAATTCTGATTGACCAGGCCGACGTAAACTTATTATTAACGTCAATTATTTCATCTAATAATAACCGTGCCATTTCTTCCGTAACGTGCAATTATTCACAATCAGATATAGAATATTAATTTTACAATTATTTCGTTAATTTCTCGTGGAATGATGTATCTTCATATTTCACACGTGAACTGATCGATGTAAAAATACATTGTATTTCGTGGAACGTCACATACGCGGAAAACATGCCCAAATTATTATCTTTATCGTATTTCAAATTTACATGTTCTTGCCCGTTATGCATAGTGGCCAAATGAAACGATAATCTACGTGAACAAATTTATCAAGCGACATGATTTCATGGATTTTGTTAACGTTACTTCAATTCCCCCACGTATATTTACAGGTCTAAGCAACGCAAAAACAAAACTGTTAATAGTATCATGATGTCGTTGCGTGCAAATTCGTATTTTTGTGAAAGTTTAATTTAAAACTAGAATCCAGAGATTTCGCTTCACTTGTTAAATATTTTCACAATTTTACTTTGCATTTCGAATACTTTAGATACTGCGTGTGTCCATGCATTTTTGTTCCTCTAAATTTATCCAACAACACGATAAAAATCCGCAGTCTGACAATAACTTTCATAGCTTTCTTCTCCCTGTCCAATCCAATTTCAGTATAACATTTAAATTAATGAGAATTCTGATCTTCAACATCACTCTGACGGAATATCTTCCATCGATACCTTCGTTATTTTCACATTTTGTTCACGTAGTTGATTCGCAACAATGAAAATCGCGATTTAACGTTATTAGTCGCGGCGAATGCGGCGTATTAAAAGCGCGGACGCGAGGAAAGCACAGGTGCAACGTGATACGTTTTAATCGGGATAATCGATTCGATCGAATCGGCTACTATCATATTTGTACAACACCAACTGGCCATGTTTTCCACCATGCCCTGTGTACATCTCTTTTGGTTTTCCTGCGTTCGAGCAGTCGGTTTCAAACTGAAAAACAATAGAGATTCATGGCCGAGATTCAGAAAAGAAAAAAGAAAAGCAAAAAAAAAAAAAAATAAAACGAGAGAGAAAGAGAGAGACGAGCGAAAACATCATTCTGCTCATGAATTTCAAATCGCAGAGCGGTACGATCGAGATACTGAAACGTGTGAGTTTAATTGCAGGAAGTTCGTTCAACTGTTTGCTCGATATCGTGCCGATCAAAAACGAAAAGAGCGACGTCGTACTCTTCCTGGCATCGCACAAGGATATCACCCACACGAAGAACCTTCAGCTGTGTGAGTTGCTCGATAGTGGTGAGTTCTAGCCAAGCTTCGCTGCTGAACTCAGTCTGACGAAACGATTTTCTCTGGAATGCATTTCGATCGACGTGACTGATGAATTGCATTCCAAAGTATCCGAGCACGGGACCATACATCGGGTATGGATTAAACGTTCCCAATGTACATAACCTTGTTTCTTTTCTTTGTTTTTTTTTTCTCTTTTTTTTTCCTCTCTCGCTCTCAACGTGTCTAACCGTTTCGTGCTTTCAACACCGCGATCACGCTGCTACACGCTGCTGCACGATGACAGAAACCCTAACGCAACTCGCAGATTGTGACAAACGCAAAGTGCAACGCAAAAGAGAAGAAATATGAAAAAAAAA